AGGTAAATTTTTGGGGCCGGAGCTGATCGTATCTTGAAAATTTCGTAAGTAGGGGTGTTCATAAGTAGAGGTACCACTGTACTTCCCTGTTTAAGTTGCTTGCTCCTTTTGACTGTGCTCTTCTGCAAATTATGTTTTCTAGTTTTACTGCTTCTACTGCTTTTTGTTTTTATGGTTTTATTATTTGTTGTACTGTTCTTTTTTTAACTTTGTTTGCCACTCAGAATCACATATAAACAAACAATAAATAAACCAACAAACAATCCTTTTCTCTCTATACACATTATATCCATTCGTCTCTCATCCTCATTTTTTGCAACAAACATTTTTATATGCAGTTTCCTCATCCAGAGTGAATTTCACTTCATTGTTCCACCAAGCACTCTTTCATAGTTGTCATTCGTGTAACTCCACACAATTCTGTGGCACTCTGTAACATAATTCTTTTCACTCCATTCCAAGCAGCTTCTGCATCCTCTCTCTTTAGTACACCTAACTATTCATTCTGTTTGGAGATTTATCTATCTATCAATAGTTTTGATACAGGAGGACTCAAACTTTCTCTTCCTCCAGTCACGGTACTTTCACTTGTTTCTTTCTCTTACTTCATTTTCTTCCATTTCCATTTCCCCCAAGATCCACTCAAGATGCTATCAAAAAATGGTCTATCCCACATTCCAAACTTCTCATCCCTCTTATATCCTTCACTCATTCCCTTGATCTTTCATCATAATCAGATCATGCTTTTAGACTTGCATTCACTTTGCCATGCTATGTAATAACAAAATTATACTTAAAGCACAGCTTCCAAAGAGACCTTTTTCTCAGTAGATGACTCACCAACTTAGGGCTATGCTGCTCTCCTGAAAAGCTCCACGCAGCATTAAGACTAAAACTCCTCACTTCAGAAAAATCTCTCAGCATGCAGGAATGGGTATTTAAAAATGCTATTTTAGGGAAATATATTTCAATTGTGAATCAGATTTTTTAAAAATGTGAATCACTTTGCATATGATGGAGAAACATAAAGAGAACCCTTAAGGTTCCAGGGATGGTGGAGTTGAATACCAGATCCTGAGAATAAAGAAAGGTGCTATACAACCCTTGTGCTCTATTTTTGAGGCTTCTGTTGGCTTTTTTTCTTTCAGGTATGTATTTAACTTACTGCATATCCTTACTTTCCACCAAAGATAATGCTCAAGATAGTTAACAATAAAACATACTGAATAATATAAAAAAATTATATTATCACAGGCTAACTCTCATTAAAATAATTTTGCTGCTATCGCCTTCAGAAACTTAGCAATGTCAGCTTGAACCCCAAGACCTACCTACATTAAAAAATAACAACCATTATCATGCCTTTTGCTTGCTGACAGAGATGGCGCCAACCTAGCTTTCCTTTGCAGGCAATCCCACCAGATGTAACTCCTATAATAGCAAAACAGAGATAAATGTTTCTCTTCAGGACTAAAAATCTGGACAGACTCTTGTGGGAGAATGCACTTTTTCAAACAGTCTCTTTCCAAGTTGACTAGGGGCTTGTAGGTTGTAGCTGGCATTTTGAATTTTGCCCTGAAACAGGACAAAATTTGATTACCTTATTACAAGACAGTAGTAATCAAAGGTAAGCAAATGCTTCTCATCAGTAACTTTATCTCAGCATTCTGGACTTTCCAAACACTTTTCAAAGGCAGTTCACCCACAAACCATGTGTTACTGAAATCCAAGCAGTTGTAACTATGTGTTAAAATGGCTAGAACTTCAGAACAGCCCTGAGGCAGTAACTTTAATTATATGAACATATTCCACTAGGGAAATGCTTGAATCCAGAAACACACTTAATTCATGGATCTGATTTTTCAAAGGGTGTAAATCCCAATTGATGGGATTTTGACTGATCTGTCTTTTGACTGAACAACAGCAACTGCTGCTAAAGGAGAATCACACAATTGTGAGAGGCTAATTTTACTAGTACTCAAATGGACATTCATAGAATTCCCCTGAAGATCATATTGTTGAGCACCACAAGGTCAGGGTTCTTGGGGCAAGGCCAACACCCAGGGACACAGTGACTTATCTTGAGCATGAACCCACACATATACAGGACACAGAAGGAGGGCTTCAGGGAAGCCGAACTGTGGGGAAATTAGGGCAGATGAAATATTTCTTTCTCTAGTATGTAATCAAAACTACAATATTCATTGCCCTAGAATATATCAGCAACCAATTCAACTTTTGAAAGACAGTTATACAGCACTGAATAAAGTTATCAATGTCAGCTAGTCCTTCACAAAGGAGTCAAAGGAGAACAGCAGCATAGAACTATTTCACCATGTCTTGATTATGGGATTCCCACAAACAGCTTGATGGCCAGGATGCTACACCAGTTAGGTATCTGGATCCATCCAACCTAGTTCTTGCTGTGCCATAGTCCTTAAGAATGCCAAATTGCAATGAATGTATAGAGCAGCTCCCCTTCATCAATTTAAAGCACATCCATATGATCAAAATTAGTGCTAACAAGATCAGCAGTTGTTTGGTGAAGCCAACATACGTTCAATGCTTAACCTGCAGGGTTGCCACAATAGTGTCAAGGTGGTTTAAGAAGCAGATTGTATTGCTTTTTATGCATGCCATGAAGCAATGACCTAACAGCTACTTTAAAATGCAAAATCTCTGCCAATTTTTTACTCCCATGAATTTTGATGGAAAATCTAATTATAACTAGCTACTCAAATTGGCAACTACTATACTCAGCATGCATCTATCACGTACTATATATTCAATTCTGTCAATTTGGTGAGCAATGAAAACAAGTATACACACAAATCATCTTAAATTTAAATGTCAGTTGCAATCCAAGTTTTATCTTACAAAACATTTGTGGTTTGCAGCACAAAACAGTTTGTTTTTAAATAAAAGTCTTCAGTTTTCTCAGCTACTTAATTAAACAGAAGACTGACAATGTCAGGGCACCATAAACTGTGGTACATTTTCCATTATTCCTATGGAAGTTGTAAATATTCATAATTCTGCAGATCAAAGACCACCAGATGAAATATGATATGCCAAATATGTGATATATGTAGTTTATCTAGCCTTGCTTTATCTTTCCATGGATGGCTTATCTAATGGACCTTTTAGGAAGTAGATATTTTTGGCTTCAAGGTCTTTAATAAATAGGGTTTTTTAAAGGCATAGCCTGGAAACAGGAATAGTTCTGAGACTGATAGAATATATTCATCCATCAACATATAAACCTTCAAACTGGGGTGCCTCAGATGTCTTCATCTACAACTCCAAGAATCCCGTGGAACATGGCTGTAAAGGAATGGTTGGAACTGTAACCTCATAACCTCTGTAGGGCACCCAGCTCATGAAGATTGATGTAAGAGAAGATTGCCAGGGTATTGTTGTTGTTATTATTTTATAACTTTTATTTAAAAGCCAAGATGTATTCTCAAAACAGATAATATCTATAAATGGACAGATAATTACTGAAGTTATACAATTAATGCTCAATATAACAGTAGTAAAAGATTCCAAGCAGAATACATTGAGTTGTTTTCATAATATGAAAAAGAAGTACATATAAAGGTTTGAGCTTAATGCCAAAATCCCCACTACATTATTATTTGTAAATGTTAAAAAAGAAGATAAAAACCATTCCTAAAAATAATATAGATAAATATTTGATTTCTGACTTCCCCCTTCTTTGTACTTCAACCAATTTGCAGTACTTACTGTATTGGTGTAAACTTTGGAAACCATATTCTAAGTGCCAATTTATAATTAACCAGTTTTCAAACACACATTTTGAGGCATGATCATAGAAAGCCATGACAAATTTGAAAAATTTAGACATTTTCCAGGGGAGAATACTATGGCGTCATCAGGTTGGTAGTCATCTGTCAGCAGAATGGAATCCCTCCCTCTGTTTTTTAACACCCCCCCCCCAAATTCTTCCTGATGTGCACTGGACTGTTAGAAGAACTTCCAGAATAGAACAGGGAGGGAAATGGGGGAGAAGAGCGAGGTGAAGAGTAGAAATCCATTTGTGTAGTGACAGAATTCATGGATAGATGAGTTCTTATATAACATTAAGCCAAGACTTTATGATTTGTTGAACAAGCCACAGTGATCAGGTTTACAAATAAAGTTAAGCAAAACCAAATTACAGTATGACTTGGCATTTTGTGCAAACTAGAACATAGAGGCTACAATCCTAAATGTACTTAACTTGAAAATAAAATGGTAGTTCTTAAGGGAACTTCTCCCAAATGAACATGCATAAGATCAGACTGGACGTTTCTATGGATCCAATGCTACTTTTAGTACATTCCATACAATTCTAAGTATACTTAAAGTAAACCAAACTATAACCAATGTGAATTACTTCTGACAAAATAAATTTAGGAAAAGTAGGAGGAATGTCCAAGCAGCGTTCAGAAAGACTTGATCCTGTAATACTGAGTTGAACTTGACTTCTGGTGATTTCATGTACCTGTCCATGTAGTCGTCTTGACAATAATATTAAAGTAGCTTGCCACTGCCTTCTGGGATGTTTTTAAATTCTGCAGGCAAGCCTACAGCTCTAACATTCCTGGTAAACTCCGTTTAAGTATTAACCAGGATTGACAGTGCTCAGCTTCTGTCCCCCGAAAACCAGGTCCTCCACCTGATAAGCTAAGGAGAGACATGCTAAGTGGTAAGCTGTTTCTCTATTTTTCAAGTTTCCAAGGTTTAGCGTGGAGATTGGAGCCAAGAGACATCTCACTAAAAGCATCTCCATAACTCACTGTGAAGTCACAGAAACTACAGAATCATACGAGTTGGAAGAAGCCATTTGATACTATTATACATATATTTTTCCTCTGAATAGATTCTGGGAAACATTGTTTGCCTTGAACATTTACATTAAATGTAGCCTCAAAGCCTAAGATAGGGTTCTTATCCAGGCACACTTTCCATGTCTAGCTAAGGTAGAAACAGCAAGCAAACAAAAGAAGAAACAACGCATAAGCTGTACGTCAAGTCGAGAGGGAGTATTATGCTGCACTTGGCGGAATGTAACCTTACTCTGGTAAATCATACAGACAATTATTCTCCAGCTAACTCACTTTTCTTCTTCTGTATTATTTGTGGACCCCTAGCCCCTATCACCGGGTTCACTGTAGGGTTACCAGATGTCTAGCAAAAAGAGCACATGTCCTCCTTTTTGTCTTCATGTCCTCTGTCCTGCAGGCATAGCCTTAAAATCAAATACTCTCTGCTTTTTGAGTGTCTTGGTTTTTTTTTTTTTAAATTGGACTGTTTTCACAACAGTCTTCATTCAAAATTTCATGTATTGTGACCTTATAAATTATCTGTTTTTTCTTTCCTTGTCCATTGACAGATTTGACAGCCTAGATTTAAATTATTTATTTCCTGATTCCAGCAATCGGCTTCAATCCACCCCCTTCAAATTTATGCTCCCTGCAGTTTGAGGATCACATGACTCATCATACATTTCTATGGGGAAATTTGGACAGCACGTCCTCATTGATTCTATATTATCGCTAGTGTATGTTCTTGAAAATAAAGATTTGTTGGAAATG